TACTCCCCACCCAGTGCACAGCCACCGGGGTGCCCCATCTCCTGGGGCGCCAGCCTTTGAGGCTTGACAGGTCGGGGTACTTAGAGCGGTAATAGCGAGACTCTTTGCCCTTTTAGAATATAAATGTGCCTGGAGCTGCCTCAACTCTGAACCGTGGGAGCTGTGTTCTGGAGGGAGTGGCTCAGTTTCCTTAGTTGTAAAAATGGTCGAGGCCCTGGTGAAACCCAGAGTTCGGAATATTTCGAATTTTAGAAAGTTTTCTCTGTGCATGTATGGTATATTACTTAACACTCTCCGTGGGGCCTGAGGCGGGCCCATTAAACACACACACACACACACACACACACACCACACACACACACACACACACACACACACACACACGTTAATATTTCCTCAAAGGTGTGGACGTTTACAATAAGTGGGATAAACCAGGACTGAAAATTGTGCCTTAAGTCAGGTCAGGTTTTGTAACCAAATGGTGCCAGACTGTGGGAATACTGGCAGTTTCCAAAGCTTTGGGGACTTTGGAATTGTGGACCATGGAATAAACTTCTTAGCAGTGATGGGAATGAGACTGTGTGTAGCAGTGCACAGGCTGAGAGAAAACAGGGCCTGGTGAGCATGAAGCTGCTCAGTAAATGAGGGCTGACATTATCAGTAGTGTCAGAGCCCAGGGTTGTCTGATTCTCTGTTCTGCAGTCCTAGGGAAGTCCTGGCCCTAAGTGCTGAGCCTCCACTTTCTGGTTCTAAGGAGAGGGGCTGTCAGCCCAGTCCTAGATGAAGAATGGAGAAGGAACACAGGTTTTATTGCCGGGAGCTTGGGAAGATGAAGGGAAGCCTCCTGGGGTGCCAGGAAGGTGACAAGGCTGATGACATTGGAGAGTGTGTTACCCTGAGCAAGTAATTTCTCCTGACTCAGCCTAGATTTCTGCATGTGAGACAGGCACCTGGTCATGGAAATCTTGAATCTCCCCTGAGGTGTGCTGGCGGACACACTCTCTAGACTAGACATTGGTTTTATTCTCATCTCATTTGAGGAGAGGAGAGTTGTGGCTAGAAGGCCAGGATAGTTCAACCCAAGAGCCCTCCTGGTCTCCACTCCCCAGCCTGGGGCTCCTTAAAATCAAGGAAGGGGCTTCCCTCTTTCAGCCCAGTGAAAGAGTGATTGGATAGTAGAAGGAATGAAACATACTTTTCCCAGTGCTAAGTGTGTGCTTTCCAAATCTGTAAGGACATGCCTGAGTTTCTAGAACACAACAAACTCTGCTCTGCCTCAGGGCTTTTGCATTTGTTCCCACTGCTGTCAATGTCCTTCCCCCAGCACTTTATATATCTGGTTACTGGTCATTCAGGTCTCAATTCAAACATTATTTCTTCAAAGAGTCCAGCAGCCCGCCATCATTACCTCCAACATAACCTCTTTTTGCTGTCTTCATAACTGTCACTTCTCTCTGAAATTAATTTGTCTCTTCTGACATCTATCTACCCCCCAATACATCAGCTACACAAGGATAGAAATCTTTCTGTTATGCTCCCCTAGCATCTCCCCAGTGCCTATCACAGTGCAAGGTAAACAGTTGGGGCTCAATTAATACTTGTCAAATGCTGGTGAGTTAAGGCCTGGGAATCAGGCCTTGATTAAATCTTGCTTCAAACCACCCCCCCTCAAGCTTTATATACTCTTTGGGCTTCACTCCCCTCTTCTGTGAAATAGACGTATCAGGATTGTTGAGTAGATGTGTAACCAGATGAAAACAGATAGTGCAGATGAAGTTAGTAGCAGGGATAAGGCTAAATGGTGGCTGGGGTTACTAATATTAGTCTCCTGGGTGTGACTATGATTATAGGACTGGGGGTCTGGAGCCCTTTCCTGACCTCCCTAAAGCCACACCTCTACCAGGCTTTGAGTAAGGGGCAGCATATTCCCCCACAATATCTATAGTGCTAACCATTCAAAGGTTCACCTCTTCACTTCTTTATACCCCAACTCCCAGCCTGGCTTTGCAGTCCTTCTCTCCTTCCCAATGCCGCCCTGGACACTTACACTCCAATCCTTTAATTTCTCCCCCCACTCCGGAGCCCTCCCCATAGGGGTGAGAATTGCCCACTCCCACCTGACCACAGCTTCCGTCTTGGGTGTATGGGGCCATGTGTTCAGGATGTGGTGACAGCGGAGGTGACTGGACATTTCTGGCCTTGGCCAGTACCTGGCTTCGGGGCCCCGCTTGGAGTCTCGCTGGCTATATAAGCCTCAACCTAAGACCTCTGTCTCCGGGATGGAGGAAACTCTGGTCTCTTCCAGGACTGGGAACGCCCAGTGTGTGGCGTGTACACACAAGCCCGGCCACAGTTCGTCACCATCTATGGAAGACGGGGGTGCGGCCCGAAGGTTCTAACAGCCTTTTTTAGCCCAGGCCTCTGACTCATACCTTCCCGGCTCCGCCCCAAAGGGGGCTCCAGGGCCCCAGCCCGTGCCCTTAGGGTGTCAGTCTACAGGGCAGCGAAAGCTGACCGACCAGGCCAGAAGTGAGACTGCAGCTTCCCGATGAAGGAAGCAGCCTGGTTTCTAGCCTTGCTATCCGGCCTGGCAGCCGAGGGTCTGGATGATTCAGGGTCAGGTTTGTGGGTATACTAATGCACTCTCACCACAGCAGGCCTACCTCTGCATTCCCCATGCCACTGAGCAATAATTTTCTGTGAGCGCTGCACACCTCCAAAAAAAGTGGAATGAATGAATAGGTTGAGAAGCAGGAATTGGCAAAGAGAAACGGAGTGGGGAGAAAGCACAGTGGGCTGAAGCTCAGTAGAAGCAAAGACCCTTTTAGAGGCATGAAAGAAAGAGCACTTGTCAGTAGTTGCAAGAAGAGGCCCTCCTCCAAACCAGATCGACCCACCCCCTCTTTTACCGGGTAGACTCGGGAGCCCCACCCGGCCTAGAGCACCTGGCAAGTCAAGCCGGGATCTCACCACTTTATTACCTCCCCCCTCCCGAAACAAGAAGCTCAGGTTTGGCGGGTCACGAAGGGCCATACCACTGACGCCGCGAGGGGAGCGTGGGCTGGTCGACTGCACAGCAGGAGGGGGGACAAGGCCAAGTGTTAGTTCTGCACTCGATGCTAGTGCGCGGCTGGCACAGCACGCCAGATCCAGGTGGGGCAGTATTGAGTATCCAGCCATCAGACGATGCTCAGTGCCTTCGCCTTCTGGCTGCCAACTCCAGGGCAAGCTGCACCGCCGCTGGGACCCGGGGGGCCCATTGAGAGCCGCTCCTTGCTCAGTACCAGCCAGGGTCCCGGGGAACCTAGGGTTCGGTGGGTGGGGTCCTGTGTGTGGAGCTCAAGAGGAGGAACTGCGGAGCCATCTGCCGCTGCCTCTGGACTAGGCTCTGGGCTGCCCTGGGTTTTGAGTCTCGTACAGGATTGAGGATGCTGAAATGGGGAAGCGCTCACGCTATGAGACCTCATTACCTCTTGCCCCCAGGATCTGGGCTGCGATCTGGGGATGGTAGGACTGTAGGTTAGATTGAGCAGTAGGGAGGGGAACAGAGACCTGGGCCCCCTAGCCAAGGGTGGCCAGGAGACTCCAAGGGCCGAGGGTGACAAAGCCACGGTCCCTTAGAGAAACATCCCGCCAAGGCCTGGACACGCCTTTAGGAAAGGACACAACCCTTCCTCACCTCCAACACCTCCTTTTCCGAGACCCCGCCCCTCCTAGATCCAGAACACGCCCTTCAGAAATCATTTCCCAAATCCCCAAAGGAAATCAAACTCTAACCATAACAACCCCAACTCTCCCCTTACTCAACCTACCTCCCTGTAATGTTAACCCTTTCCCTTATGTAACCTTGTGTTTATTTACTAGACCTCTTACTCTCTGCATCCCCATACCATCCCCTTCCGGCTGAGACCCACTCCACCTTCCCCTCAGAGGACCATGTCCCTTTCTTCTGACAACTGCTTTTACCCCAGACCCTTTCCTTCCTCTCCCCTCCCAGTACTTCGAAATCCTCCTCTCTGAAATCCACCATTATTTCTATCCTGGGACCCTGCCCTCCCCACTGCCGCTTTTGAGAATATCTGTCCCCCTCACAGAGACCAACCCACTGAGACCACCAAACTCTTCCCAACCAACACTCCAGACTCTCCACTCTGTGATCCTCTCCTACCCCTCAGAGATCCCAGACCCCTCTCCCCTGGGAAACCCACCATCTCCTTTCTGGGGCCCTCCAGCCTCGCCCTCTCAGACTTGCTAGGGTGGGTCTCAAAGAGGCGTGCATAGCACAAGGTGGAGCCGGGGGGCCCCCTGTGCGAATCCGCTCCACGACCTGAGCATGGGTGAGGCCCAGAGTTGACTCTCCGTTGATATGGAGCACGAGGTCACCAAGCTGCAAGAATGCAAAGTGTTGTAGGAAGGGCAAATGGCCAGCACTCCAACAAAGGATGGGGATGAGGCTAGCACCATAGAATAGAGGGTGCCTTATGGCTCTCTTGCAAGCGACCGCAGCACTGTGCCGCCCTGTCCTTCGGCAGCCCACATACTGCCAGCGGAGCATTCCTGGCTGCTTCTCGGCCTCCACTTAATGTGAGGCCAAAGCCTGCGGAACCGTGGACCAGCATCACAGAAAACCGACCAGAGGACTGGAGCAGCTTTGAAGCACAACGTGCATTAACCTGAGTCACCTGGGGTGGTGTGGTACATGTACCCAAGGTCTCTGGCCGACGATGCTGGAGTAAGGACACGAATAAACATACACTGCCAATCTCGAGGCAGGTGGCCTCGATTAGGAGGATGAGACGGTACCTAAAGCCGGTATTCCACGAAAGTGGGATTAAGCAGCTGACTGTACGTGACCTCAATGTCCGCAGAATCCAGCTCACTAACAGCTGATGGATGAAATAGGGGATCAGGATTGAACTCCATATAAAATACCTAGGTCCTGCCCTTTGAGTAGCCATTTTAGCTTCATATCAATGCCTAGATTGCACAGACAGGTCATCTGCCCATTTAACTATTCTCCTCATACTCAAATGGATCCTTTAACTTGTCTGACAGCCCAAGGAAGGTGGTAGGGCTGAAAAATGGGATGGCTCCCACCTCAGCACAGCTCCTACCTCCACTCACAGCTCAGCATACCGTTTATGAGCTCTTCGTTTTACTAAGTAGTTGAAATGGTTTTTATTACATACTAACTGCTAGTAAATACTAGGTTTGTTTCTAGCCTCCCTTCTGGCCAACCCATCTTGTGCCCTGTCCCTGTCCCAGGGTTGCACTGCAAGTGCAGGATGGGACAATGATCTCCCCACCTTCACAAAGGCAGGCCTTTCACACTGTACAGAACTGGTAACCGCCTGGGGGATGGAGTGGGTCCATGGGTCAGTCTTCATCTGAGTCACTGGGGCCCATGTACTCGCAGACAGCATCATAGTGAAGCTCCATCAGTCGATTCTCTCTCCGCAGCTGCACCACAACCTGGCTCCGCTCTCTGTCCCGGCCCAGCATACAGTCCA